CCAAATTGATCATTCTGTCACATCAATGGCTCCTGTCGACTATGAATAAAGGAAATTGCGTGTATCCCAAAGATCTTTTTAAGTTTCATCCAGACGAAATACATTCTGCCGACGTTTTCAGGGGGTGGAGTGTTGATCTCATACAGTGGCTCACTCCAACGAGCGAGAGAGGATCTCCAATTAGCGCGCCCCACGTTTATAGCGAATGTCCCGTCTTTTTTTAACACTATTTATAACGAGTTTAAGTACCTTCAAACTGTCGATCCATCAATGAATGTGGCGAAATTTAGAGCACTGAATGTCTTGGCCAATCGGTGCAAATATGTTGGGATAGGCGGGGGGAAGAGTTCTAATGAAATTAAAGACTTTTTGTTTGACATAGGGATGTTAGTGAGTGACGGGTATGGTACGAGTGAGACTGGGAATATTGCCGAATTGCAGTCTGGACAAGTGAAAGACGGCGCGGACTTAAAACTGATTGATTGTCCAGAGATGGGGTATACCACACAAGATAACCCACCACGAGGAGAGATTGTAGCTCATACAAATGAGATGAGTGACGGGTATTATCACGATGAAGAGAAGACTAATGAAGCCTTTGTAACTATAGAAGGTAAGAAATACTTTAAGACTGGGGATATTGGAATGATCAAAGATGGGAAAGTGTCTATTATAGATAGAAAGGCGTTTAGTATAAAAACAAGCCAAGGGATTTTTATTATGCCAAGTACCATCGAGCAATTTGTGTTACAAATCAAAGAAGTCAAACAGGCGTTTGTCTTTGGAGATATTAATGTGAGTTTCATATGCGCTGTAGTCGTAGTGGACAGAGACGTCGAAACTAAGAATTTGCTGACGAAAATACAACACCACATGGAAGAAAAGAAACTGCACCCAAGCGAAATACCACAGAAACTTGTTATTACACACAAAGAGTTCACATCTTTGAACGGATTTTTGTTAGTCATAGGAAAGATGAATAGAGCAGAATTAACTAAACACTACAAACACTATATCTTCGAGCCTGAGAGAACTATTATAGAAGGAACTACACAAGAAGAAGAGTGTGAGAGTGACTCATATACAATTTCTAAAGAACTTGAAACGATTTTAAGACTATTTGTCCCATCACTGAAGAACGTTAAAAACATCAAACAAGTCACTAAACAGAGTCTTGCCAATCTGGGAGCAGACTCTGTGACTATTGGGCAAATCACTAATAGCGTCAATAAGACGTTTGGACTCAAATTGAAAATCAGAGAGGTCTTTGCTGTGCCTTCGATCTATTATTTGCACCTCATCACACAAGGCATTTCGACTGTTATAACAGACGTAAATTGGGAGGAAGAAGTGACGAAAGCGACGCCACACGAAGTCTTTATTAAAAAAGCCGAGAAGAATACAATCATGATAACAGGAGCGAGTGGCTTTGTCGGGAGATTTGTGTTGCGAAGTGTTTGTGAGAAGACTGAGAGGCGAATTGTATGTTTAGTTCGGTCTCAGTCGAAGTTAGTGAAAGTGTTTCAAGAGGCTTGTGGGAGTGAAGACCTTTTCAATCGACTTTTTAAAAAAATTGAAGTCGTTGAAGGCGATCAGACAGCTCCCCTTTTTAATTTGAAAGAAGAGAAGTACAATAGTTTACTTGAAGAAGTTAATGTAGTAATCAATACATGTGGGAGAGCTCATATGTATGAGAGTTATCAGCACTTATATGATGTCAATGTTAAATCAGTGACTACCATCCTTTCTTTTTGTCAAAAGAATCATTCGAGTTTAATTCACATTTCGTCTACAAGTGTGCTGCAGAATTTTAAGAGTGAAGAAACAGTGACTTTACCTTCAAATTACTTGAACGAGAGTTTCGGGTATGGACAGTCAAAGTGGGTCGGAGAACAAATCATTGCGAGGACGGAAGGAGTGACAAGGACTATTGTGAGACTTGGACTGGCGGGATTTGATCGAGTAAGTGGAATTAATAATGAGCAAGATTTACTCGCACCTATTTATAGAGAAATAGTTGAGAAGAAAGTTGTGTGCTTTGATTGGAACGTCTACTTTTCTACGGAAGTTGCAATCATTCCAATTGATTTTGTGGCGGATTCTATTGTTTTAATACTTGAAAAGATCGAGAAGGAAGACGGGAGTGTAAGTGTATACCACGCAGACTGCGAATGTCTAACACCATTGAAAATATTGTTCGATGGAAAAGGGTTCAAAACAGTTAACGTGGAAACGATGAGAGAAACAGTGGCTAGTCTGAGACAGTTCACAGATCAATGCAGAAAAGTTCCCAAGTATAAAGAACTGGTTAAAGAACTACCAAAGTATACATCTAAAGACGGAGACACACTCATTAATAGAATTGAAAAAGAATTGAAAGAGTCAAAAAGTAAAGAAAATTGATTTTTTTAATTTGATATTTAATTTTGAGTTTATTGTGTTGTTTATATATAACTTTGTTAATATTATCAGTGTAATGAATATAAAAAAGAATTACACTAATAACAAACGAGCATTAATTCAGTTGCAAATTAATTAATTATAAATTATTAAAGAATATAAAAATAAATATGAAAAATCCTGTTTATTGGTAATTAAAAGTAATTTATTTTTTGTTGCAATTTTGATTGTTATTTATTTTATATAAACGTGTAATTAATTTGATATAATATCAATTACAAAACCAAAATAACAATTCAATTAGAAAGGCTACTTTAAGAAATTCCTTTTTATCAAATAAATCGAAATGAGAGATTTTCACATT